GGCAAGAGGATCGCAGGTTCGAGGCCAGTCTCAGCAATTTAGCGAGATCCTGTCTCAAAAAATAAAACGGTCAGGGAATGCGTCTTAGTGGTCAAGTGGCCCCGAGTTCCATCCCCTGTACCAAAATAAATTCTATGCCGCAAAGTTTCAAATTGGACACCTCCGCGGATCTTGTCTAGGAAGAAAAAATACTGCAGCATATGGAGAAGCTAGACAGGCTGGCTTGAACGCACAGGGACTTGGGGAGGTGGGCGGCGGGCACGGTAGGAATCCCTGGAACCCTGCTGCACTCCAGTCCGTCCTCTAAGGCGAGCCCCTTGCTCTCCCCCTCCTTCCCACTTCGCTTGCCCCTTTTCTGCGCTCTACTTCAGCCTCTGCCTATGGCGGAATCCAGGCTCCCCCCACGGCAAAACGGCGAGCAGAAAAGGGATTCTGGCTCAGAGTTGGGCGGCGGGAGCGGGCGGCCTCGGGGCACAAGGAGACCCGCGCGGGGGACAGGCGGGGCTCGGCCTGAGTGTCGGACCGAGGGGGTGGCGCCCTCCGCGTCTCCGTGACTGCGCCTCCGCGCCCCCGTCTCGCCGAGGCTCCCAGGATGCGCGGAGGCGGCGGCGATGGCGATGATTCCTCCAGCCCTGCATCATCCAGGGTGCCGGGCGGAGCTGGGGTCCCGGCTGCGAGATGGAGGAGGAGGGGAGGCGCTGCGGCCACCCGGCAGGTGAGAGGTCGCTCTTTGGAGGAGGACGAGCCACCCGGACTGGGGAGGCCAGGCCTCCAGGAGGCCAGGCGGGTGAAGGAGCAGCGCGGCCGTGCTGGGCCAGGCCGAGCCGCCCGGCGCACCTGTGCTGGTGCGGCCTTGGGAAAAGCCTTCTCTCCTGTCCTTCCCAGCTCCCAGGCTCTGCTGGGCCGGTAGAAACCCCAAGCTACTGCAGGTGCCCGGACTTAGCCCTCCTCATTACACCAACCTTCAGCTGATTCTTCTACAAGCGTCTTTGGATAGGCTTAGGCCCTCTTTACCATCATCTCTCCCACAATTCAAGATTCCTCACCCATCGCCTGTCCCTGGTCGGCGCCACCCTCCCCTCTCCCGGGTCTCCCACTCCACTTGTTCTCAGGCTGGGATCCTGCCTCAGCCTTCCCATTATTCCCAGCAAGTGACCCAGATCTGACCTTCCCTACCCCATCAGGTGCTCAGGGCTTCAAAAGGTACTTCATCTGGGTAAAAGAGGCAGAGATTTGAAATGATTCAAATCTAGCCTGAATCTTAGTGACCTTGGGCAAGTTATCTAACCTCCTTGAGGTTTTTCTGATCAATACAAATACAATGAGCATATTAAATTTAGTATGTCTCTGTGAGGGTTAGGTGCTGAAAATACCTGCCTTGAGGGAACTTAAGACATTATGAGAGAGAAAAAAAAAAAAAAAACTTAGTTGGAAGAATCCAGATCATGATTTGTAAAGGCAGGTATAAAACACCTTAATGTTTACTAAAAAATTAAAACAGCACACTAGCAAGGATTCTTCATACATTTTAATGAAAAATAATCACCTTGGTGTGATACATTTCAATTTTCTGTCTTACTACTAATTTCTTATGGACTCTCCTCAGTAGTTTAAAAAAATGCATGTAAATTCATTCTTATTTTGGCTAGTGTGCATACTTAAAACTGTGTCCCAGCTTAAAAATTTTCAGATTCTATGGCTTTAATCACATCTTCCAGGACCTGTTTGTAGTCCCAGGGAGAAAAGAGTAGCTTGGATGCTGGCATTGAAAATAACCTTGGTAACATTTAGGATATTAAACAGATATTGATTTGCTACCCTCCCCAGTTTTGTATTTCTGCCATCATAATTTCGTTCTCATTTTGTGATTTTGGTCTCCTCTTAAAAGTTCTAGGATTAAGTACTAAGACTTTCCCTCCATTTCCTTTATTGCTTCTACAATTCCTCTACCAAAACCTTTTCTTCTGTCTTCTTTTTCACTCTTTTCTCCTCCAAGCCCTTGATTCCTTCTTTTGTTCTAGTTATCCCAGTAAGAGTCATCTGTAATTACTTTATATTGGAACTGTAATCGTTAGGCTTGTCAAAAAGCTATACAGAAGTTTCTATGTATCTAATATAACTATATATAAATATGCATATGCAGATATGTAGCTAGATGTAAAGATAGATGTGTATATTTATGGATGTATTAGAATTTTGTGTTCCAGGAATTTTTCAATTAAGAAGGGATTACAATACCTACTTCATAGGATTATTGTGAGGATGAAATAAAGTTTGATAACTTTTATAAAACTTCTACCATGGAGCCTAGAGTATAATAACCACCCAATAAACTATAGCTACTACCCTTATGACTTGGGGATTCCTCCCTTGATCTCTTTATTCTTTTGTTTAGTATGGTGGTAAAGAATGTGGGACTTGTGGCACAAGTGTGTAATCTCAGCACTCAGGAGGCTGAAGCAGGAGAATCCCAAGTTCAAGGTCAGTCTCTGCAACTTAGTGAGACCCTGTCTTGAAATGAAAAAAAGGACTGGGGATGTAACTCAGTAATTAAGCACCCCTAGGTTCAGTGTTGATACTGAAAAAAAAAAAAGGGCTGGAGATATAGTTCAGTTGGTAGAGTACTTGCCTCACATGTACAAGGCCCTGGGGTTCAATCCCCAGCACCACAAAAAAAACAAAAAACAGGTTTTGAAAAGCAATTGCTTAAGCCAGCTTCAGCAAAAGTGAGGCACTAAGCAACTCAGTGAGACCCTAAATAAAATACAAAATAGGGCTGGAGATATGGCTCAGTGGTCAAGTACCCCTGAGTTCGGTCCCTAGTACCCCCCAAAAAAAGAAGAGCAATTGCTGGGCTGGGATATAGCTCAGTTGGTAGAGTACTTGCCTAGCATGCACAAAGCCCTGGGTTAAAAGCAATTGCTTAGGTTCAAATCCAAACTCTGTTACATTGTTAAATGATATCATCTCTCCTTCAGTTTTCTCATCTGCAAAATGCTGATGTTATACAATTTCAGGATTGTGAGAATTTAAAATTCGTAGTGGAGAGCACTGAGAACAGTGCCTGCACATCATAAGCACTCCGTAAAATAAAAATGCTAATAACAATATTGATGAGTACATTGCCATTATTATTTCCTGACATAGAATTTTTTATTTTTTAATATTAATTGAAAAATTTAAAATTTATTGACAAAACATAACTGCACAAAGTGAAGTTGTTGTTCAGTGCCTACAAATAATCTTTTTTCCTCTTTTATCCTTGAGTAATGTTGGTGCCTCATCATCTCATTTTCCTGAACCCTTTCCTATTATTTCCGGGGTCCTCATAACTTCCATCATTCCACTTCTTCATTATTACCCACTTATTTCTCTGAGCACACCAATTCCAGGTGCTCTAAGTTTCCCAGGCCAAATTCTTGCTTCTGTTTTCATTCTTCTTGATTTGTCTACTTCCCTAGAGGAAACCTTTGGTGGAGGCAGAGGTTTAGCAATAAGACACTAGTATTCTGTTCTTCCTGCCTCTTTAAATGGGCTTCTTCCACTTGCTTTTTCATAAATTAACACTAATCTTCCAATTCAGTTTTTTAAAAGGTTTGAAAAACTTGTAAAATGTTTTATTAGTGCATATCAATTATATAGAATAATGGGTTTCTTTTTTTCTTTTTCTTTTTTTTTATGGTATCGGGACTTGAACTCAGGGGTACTCTGAGTCACTTCCCCAACCCTATTTTGTATTTTATTTAGACACAAGGTCTCATTGAGTTGCTTAGAGCTTCACTGTTGCAGAGGCTGGCTTTGAACTTAACAGTTCTCCTGCCTTAGCCTCCTGAGCTGCTGGGATTACAAGAGGGCACCACTGCACCCAGCAAATAATGAGTTTTTTGGTTTTGTTTCTTTTTTTGTTTTGTGTTTTGTTGTGGTTGTTGTTTTGTACTGGAGATTGAACCCGGGGATGTTTTATCATCGAATGACATCCCCAGTCCTTTTCTGTGAATTTTGAGATATGGTGTCACTAAGTTGCTGAGGCTGGCCTTGAATTTGTAATCCTTCTGCCTCTGGAGTCACTGGGATTATTGGCTAGAGTAATAGGTTTCATTGTGTCATACTTGTATATGAATATCAATTAACAATTTTGAGATGATACTGGCAGTTTAACCCTGGGACACTTAACTGAGCTATATCCCCAGCCCTTTTTATTTATTTTTTATTTTGAGACAGCATCTCACTAAGTTGCTTAGAGCCTCACTAAATTGCTGAGTCTGGCTTTGAACTAGGATTATAAGCATGCACCACCACTCCTGACAATAATTTTTTACAAGCAGCAAAACGTCTTTTTTTTTTTTTGCTACAAAAATATTAGAAGGGCTCAGAAACAGGAATGCAGTCTTTAAAGTCTTTAATTGGAAACAATAAGAGCTATCCATTATTATTTAATTCTAATTATCAAGAAATAGGGCTGGGGTTGTGGCTCAGCAGTAGAGAGCTGGCCTGGCACGTGCAAGGCCCTGGGTTTGATCCTCAGTACCACATAAAAATAAATCAATAAGGGCTGGGGTTGTGACTCAGTGGTAGAGCGCTTACCTAGCAAGTGTGAGGCCCTGGGTTCAGTCCTCAGCACCACATAAAAATAAATACAATAAAGGTATTGTGTCCGACTACAACTAAAAAAATCAATATTAAAATATCAATAAAATAAAGATAATATTGTATCCAACTAAAAAATATTTTTTTTAAAAAAAAAAAGAAACAAAGGTTCAGGATTTACATTTTTTGTCCCATAGAATATTTTTTTCATACTAGAAATTGAACCCATGGATGTTTAACCATTGAGTCACATCCTCACCCGTTTTTATTTTATTATTATTATTTTTTTATTTTGAGACAGAGTCTCACTAAGTTGCTGAGGATAGCTTTGAACTTGTGATCCTCCTGTCTTAGCCTCCTAAATCCCTGGGATTACAGGTGTGCACCAACACACTCGGCTCCTATAGAACTTTTAAAAAGTTGCAGAAAAGTTGTTTTCACTTTCCAGTGGAGAAATTCACCATTTTGTCATGATCTGCATGCACTACAAGGCATGTAGTGGGAATGTAGAAGAAGCAGTCTTCTCTCTTGAAAGACACCAGTTAGTCATACGGAACTTCCAGAGCTGATGTTTGTCTGGTACTGTTACATGATGAGAGGCTTCTGTTTTGGGTAGAAGCCTCTGCTTGGGGCCCCTGTAACCCCTCACGGACTTGGCCCATTCTTCTGCTCCACCTTGATCCAGTGACTAAAGGGTTGATGACTAGAGGCCTCTGGGGTGTAGCTTGAGCTGGTGGTTAAATATTCTGAACATCAGCTGTGGGCCTCCCCATTGCCATTGGTGGTTCCAACAATGTTGGACCGAAGCAAATGCTTGTTGGTTGGCAAGAATAATGCACTGAACAACTTGGTCTGTTCTGCTGAGAGCATCTTTGGGAGCAGGATGGACACCAGGTCACCACAGGTCTTTGGGACAATGCAGACGATTATGTGAGTGTACATTAGATTTCATTGTACAATAGAAATAAAAGGGGGCAAAGAGAGCAAGGGGCAGTGTCTTGTCTTCAGCATGTAGCATAAGGCAGGACGGTGGTATGCATATAATTAGTGTGCATTGAGTGAGTGTGCACTCCTGCTTTGTCAGGAGGATATTCCTGTTGAAATAATGGCAACTCACATTTATCACATTACTTAGAGTTTACAAAGTAGTGTGTGTTCTCTCTCTCTCTCTCTCTCTGTGTGTGTGTCTTTGAGAAGCTATGGATCAAACCCAGGACCTTTTGCATACTTGGCAAGCATAGAACCACATCCCATCTCCCTAAGTGGTTCTTTTTTTTTTTTTTTAAGAGAGAGAGAGACATAAATTTTTAAAATATTTTTTTAATATTTATTTTTTAGTTTTGGGCGGACACAACGTCTTTGTATGTGGTGCTGAGGATCGAACCCGGGCCACATGCACACCAGGCGAGCGCGCTACCGCTTGAGCCACATCCCCAGCCCCCTAAGTGGTTCTTTGAACCACTTTTATTCCACTTCTTAAAAAAACTTTATTCAACTTATATTTTTTTATTCCACTATATATTTTAATTTTTATGCCACTGTTATTCCAGATACTCTTTGTTACTTTGATTTTTTTCCCCCTCAGAAATGGAGGGAATTGCCCAAAAAATCTCAATATGGGAAAAGAAAGAAATACTGGAAAATAAAGGATTGTTCCTAGGAAAAGAAAGAGGATTTGTTAGTGATGTACGGGAACCTAAATGTAAGGCCACATCATGCACCAACCTGATCTTATTTAAAGCATATGCTGTTTTTTTTGCCCCAGTCCCTCTGCTGCAAAGACCTCCTTTCCTTCTCCGGAGCCTGGGTCCCACTGCCTGCCCCTCACCTTTCACCCAGTTAGCTTCTACTTACTAAAACTCCCTTTCTTCTTTCCCAGCTTCTCCCTGGTTGGATTAGTTGCCTCTTTTCTCCTTCCATAGCACACTGCAACCACAGTAGGCTGCAGTTACATTGTTAGGTTGATCTTCTACAGCTATGCCATGATTTCTGAAGGAGAGGTTATGTTCATGTATATTTTCAGTGCCTGGCATGGAAATGTTTCCAAAAGTATCATCTGCACAGCCCTCTGTCAGAATATCAAGGGATGAAGCCCAGAATCTGCCCTGTAATGAAAAACTTTTTTCTTTTTTTTTTCTTAGTATTGTGGGTTGAACCCAAAAGCACTTTTCCACTCTTTACCACTGAGCTACATCCCCAGCCTTTTTATTTTTTATTTAAATTGCTGAGGCTAGCCTCAAAGTTGTAATCCTCTTGCCTCAGCTTCCTGAGTTGTTGGGATTACAGGCGTGTGCCACCACTCATTAAACTTTTTAACATGCTCCCCAGGTGATACTTAATCCTATTTGGAAACCACTATGTCATAAAACTAAATTACTTGGATGGATTTATTGGGAGGTGATCATCTCTTTTTCTGTGTTGGACTTTGTGAAGAGAAGCTGCTTTCCATGTATGAGGCCAGGGCTGAGAAATTGTAATGCTTTCATAAATATTAATAATAAGATCGTGTAGTAACCCCTTTCTGTGTCTGGGTGTGCATTTTTGTGTACAGGCTTATCTGTCTTGGGCCTCTTTTGTCACACGTCGCTCATCTGTGAGTTGAGGCTCTGACTGTCTTCCCACTGAGCTTTTTTGGAGAACAGAAGGAAGAGACATTTCTCTCTGAAGATGAACTCAACAGACCCCCTTCAGGATGCCCCCAATGCCACCTGGCTCCACGTGCCTCACCCGCAGGGAGGCAACGACACCTCTCTCCAGGAGGATCTTCAGGACCTCATCCACATGGCCACCTTGGTGACCTGCACTTTTCTGCTTGCCATCATCTTCTGCCTGGGCTCTTACGGCAACTTCATTGTCTTCTTGTCCTTCTTTGACCCAGCCTTCAGAAAATTCAGAACCAATTTTGATTTCATGATCCTGAACCTGTCCTTCTGTGACCTCTTCATCTGCGGGGTGACGGCGCCCATGTTCGCCTTTGTGTTGTTCTTCAGCTCAGCCAGTGGCATCCCGGATGCTTTCTGCTTCGCCTTCCATCTCACCAGTTCCGGCTTCATCATCATGTCCCTCAAGACGGTGGCAGTGATTGCCCTGCACCGCCTCCGCATGGTGCTGGGGAAGCAGCCTGATCGCACAGCCTCCTTTCCTTGCACCTTGCTCCTCACACTGCTTCTCTGGGCCACCAGTTTCACCCTCGCCACCTTGGCGACCCTGAAGACCAATAAATCCCACCTCTGCCTTCCCATGTCCAGTCTGGTGGCTGGAGAAGGGAGAGCCATTCTGTCTCTCTATGTGGTCGACTTCACCTTCTGCATCGCCGTGGTGTCTGTCTCCTACATCATGATTGCACAGACCCTGAGGAAGAATGCACAGGTCAGAAAGTGCCTCCCGGTCATCACAGTGGATGCTTCCAGACCACAGCCTTTCATGGGGGCTCCTGGCAAGGGAGGCGGAGATCCCATCCAGTGCACCGTGCCGGCCCTCTACAGGAACCAGAATTACAACAAACTGCAGCACGTTCCCACGCACGGGTACACCAAGAGTCCCAACCAGCTGCCAACCCCTGCAGCCAGCCGACTCCAGCTGGTATCAGCCATCAACCTCTCCACTGCCAAGGATTCCAAAGCCGTGGTCACCTGCGTGATCATTGTGCTGTCGGTCCTGGTGTGCTGTCTTCCGCTGGGGATTTCCTTGGTGCAGGTGGTCCTGTCCAACAGTGGCAGCTTCATCCTTTACCAGTTTGAACTGTTTGGGTTCACCCTAATATTTTTCAAGTCAGGATTAAACCCTTTCATATATTCTCGGAACAGTGCCGGCCTGAGAAGGAAAGTGCTCTGGTGCCTCCAGTACGTTGGCCTGGGGGTTTTCTGTTGCAAACAGAAGACTCGACTTCGAGCCATGGGAAAAGGGAACCTCGAAGTCAACAGAAACAAATCCTCCCATCATGAAACAAACTCGGCCTACATGTTGTCTCCAAAGCCACAGAAGAAATTTGTGGATCAGGCCTGTGGCCCGAGCCAGTCAAAGGAAAGTGTGGTAAGTCCCAAGATGTCTGCTGGACATCAGCACTGTGGTCAGAGCAGCTCCACCCCCATCAACACTCGGATTGAACCCTACTACAGCATCTATAACAGCAGCCCTTCCCAGGAGGAGAGCAGCCCACGCCACTTGCAGCCAATCAACTCTTTTGGATTTGCAAGCTCCTACATTGCCATGCATTATCACACCACCAACGACCTAATAATGCAGGAGTACGACAGCACTTCAGCTAAGCAGATTCCAGTCCCCTCGGTTTAAAGTCAGGGAGGCCAGAGAATCTTGTGCAAATGTTTTTTTTTTTGCCTTCTCACACTGTTTGATTTTTGAGAGCCGCCGCAGAACAAAACTTAAAAGATTCAGCTGAAAAGTTGGCAGTTGGGACTTTTCTTTTGTCTGAAATATTAATGTCTTGATTTGATTTGTAATTTCTTAATATTTTAAGATATGATGTAAAAGTTTATTTAGCTTTTTAACCCGGACCTGTTACCCAGTCTTTTGTGCTGAACCTTTAAATAGAGGCCAGGAATGGTGATGATATGTTCAAGTAGGAAATTGACTGACTGGTTGTAATTCTCTGAGTCAGTATTATGGGTCTACAAAGATATTGCTGGATTTTGTTTTTTTATTTTATTTTGGTGCTGGGGATTGAACCCAGGCCCTTGCACATGCTAAGCATGAACTGTAGCACTGAGCTGCACTCTCAGCTCTAGATATGGATTAAAAAAAAAATAGACGAACTTGAAGGTATGAGTTGATTTTTTTGTTTAGTTTGGTTTTTGTTTTCTTGGTATGGGGGACTGGACTCAGAATTACTCTGTCTCTGAGCTACATCCTTAACCCTTTTTATTTTTTATTTTCAGACAGGGTCTTGCTAAGTTGCTAAGTTGCTGGCCTCCAACTTGTGATCCTTCTGCCTCAGTCTCCTGAAGGTGTTATTCTTTTAAGAATGTAAAATTTGATTCTTTGAAGTCCTGAAATAGGGATTAATACACTTTTTGGTAAGCAGGTTTATTTGAATAAAAATAACATTGTTAAAACAAAAAAAATTCACAAATATGTTACCTATATTTTTGTCCTTCTCAAAAATTCACACACAAGCATTAGGTACTTTCCTTTTATAAAACAGTCAACTAAGAAGTTAGTGTATGATTATTGCCATTTCTTATTAGAGACATTATTATTCTGTGTCAATTGAGGTAGCTGTATAGTTCTTTAAATTTTTTATTTTTTGGTACTGGAAATTTAACCCAGGGTACTTTACCATTGAGCTACATCTTCAGCCCTTTTTACTTTATTTTTATTGAGACAGTGTTTCACTAATTTTTTGAGGGTCTGACTAAGTTGCTGAAGCTGGCCTCAAACTTGTTATCCTCCTGTCTCAGCCTCCCCAGTTGCTGGGATTATAGGTATGCACCACCGCCTCTGGCTGTATAGTTCTTTTCAAAAGAAAGATATTTTAGCTTGTTACAAGTGAATTACTATATTTTGGAACGATCTTATCCAAGAATCCTAGTGCATGGGGCCTGCCCCTATAGTATAGGCATTGTTCTTGGAGAGGGTTGTTAGGTGGGAGGCAGTGTGAACTATTGTGTCATTCATTAGGCCATCTTGGCATAGAGATGGGATTGGGAGGTTTTCCTACAGTGTAAGAATATTTATTAAGTACCTGTCAGTATTCAAGTAACTACTTAGAAATAACTCCTTTTTCTTTATTTTTATATCATTGTGGTAGAAAAATTATCAAGGTGATATATTTTCAAACTGTTTTATTTTTCCTCCCACTATTTTTTTTTTTTTTGCCAAATGGGGATTGAACCCACGGCCTTGTACACACTAGCAGCCACTAAGCAACATCCCCGATACCCCACTCTTTTTTTTTTTTTTTTTTGAGCCAGAGTCTCTCACTAAATTGCCCAAGCTGGCCTCAAACTTGTGGTCCCCCTGCCTTGGCCTCCCAGTAGCTGGGATTACAAGAGTATGCCCCATGACTCCCAGAACCTTAACCTGGAAACTAGATTAAGTATCTCTGTACCTGAAACCAATTTTATTCTATACTCTGTGATTCTTACGATAACAATGTGAACTCACATTTTTATGTAAAATATTTTCATTATACAGTCAGTACTTGACCTCACTGGAATTTTGGGACTCAACTATTAGACTCAAGCATCACACTACAAAACCTATCTTTATAAGATGTTGTATTCAAGAATTACTGTTGCACATTGGGAATTACTTTGTTCTTTTGAATGAAAGACAGTCCATGCATAGCGCCCCTCCCTGAGCCTGTTCCTAAGTAGAGGTCCTGGGAGACCTGGGACAGAGAGTAGATTTTCAACTAGCGTTCACTTCCACCTCATCTAGTGCCTCACACCCTCCAGTATTTACCCGGTCATTTCTATTTCTGAGATTTAAGTATGAACTATAGGATTTATTTGGTTTTTAAATTCACCTTTCAGAACTGACTACCCTACCTACTCCTTTTCTCTCTTCCTCCCTCCCTTCTCTTCCTTTCTTCCTTTGGTTTTCCTATCGAATTTTATAACAGAAGATAACATATTCACTCTCTCACCATTTTTTTTTGGGGGGGGGACGGTAATTGAATGCTATTTTTGGAAGTCACTATTACCTATTTCAATTGTGCTTTTATATTTTAATACAATACTGTATTTATTTATTAATACTCCCATGAGATAGGTTAATATATACCTCTTTTTAACATCCTCTTCCAAGACAATTTGAAGGACTGTGTCAAATTAAGAATCAGAGCTTTGTCTTAAGTCAGAAGCTAGTGGTCCAATCAACCAAACACCTTTATAATTCATAACATAAGTTGAGAAGATCCTTCCCACTTTTTTAAGGTATATGTTTTTGGACAGGCATTTCAAATGTGATTTCATAAAAGGGTATAACAAAAGCAATTTCTATGTATAAAATTTTAAATGTCAGATTTCCTGTGTGACCTTTGAGTTTGAGATGTTTTGACCAGCATGGGGCCCATCTTTGGGAAGTAAAAATTATAGCATAAAGAGAACTAAGCATGTGAATATAAGGTATTCAGTTCTTTATGCTCTTCAAGAAATTATTGATTTAATTTGCATGAAATACATAATGAGCTAGATTCTTAGCTCCTCTTCACGTCTATATCTTAAGTAGATATAGATATTTAGACAGAACTTGTCTCTACATAAGTTATGTATGTCTATCTATACCTATTTAGTAGTAACTAGGTATAGATAGACATCTATAACGTGTCTCTTTATAAGGGCTAAAATGAGAACTAAGAGTAATGAGAATTCAATTGAATATGATTAACTTGCAGGGTATATTAACTAGTTCTCTTGATGCTTTACTGTGATGCAAAGTATGTGAGGTCTTTAAAACATTTTATAATAACTGTTCTTATGTTAACCATTAGGCCAGATTTGTATTTCTGATGCTTTTAATGTACTTTTAAAATAAAGTTTGGAAAATAAAAATATTGAAAATCCTAACATTTTGAACATCATGTTTCAATATGATGACTTTCCTGTTCAGACATTTAAAAACCATGAGAGCATGGCAGTTGGCATGTTTTGTTTTGTTGCTACTGGGGATTGAACCCAGGGGCACTTGACTACTGAGCTACATCCCCAGTCCTTTCAATTTTTTATTTCAATACAGGGCCTCACTACACTGCTGAGGCTGGCATTAGACTTAATGATCCTCCTGCCTCAGCTTCCTGAGTCTCTGTTATTACAGGCGTGCACCACCACACCAGGCTGAATACCCTGGTTTTTTAAAAATGATTCTCCATAATCTGGAGTCTCCTCTTCCCAGACTGCCCTCTGTTCACCGTTCAGGGGCCATGTGTACCTGGAGACTGCAGAGGGATCTTTGACTCTCCCAGAGACACTCACTTTTTCTCTTTATTCACCTAAAGCAGTTGCTTTTCTTTTTCATTAAGGAAAAGATTTCTGGGAGCCTCTTAAAAGAGATCTGCTCCGTGCTCTCCTACTGAAGTGGAGGAAGGGAAACAAAGGTTAGTTAGACACCAAGCCCTGTGGAGTGGTGAGGGGAGAGGCTCTACTGTCAGGGAGGGAGCCTTTAGAGAGGCCAGGCCTAGACCACCCGGAGGACTCTGCTTCTGCGGTTGACTGGAGAATGTGCTCCGTGTGCATCAGCCCAGTGTTGAGAATGTGCTCGAAGCTGTGAGGGGCAAGAGAGCCCACGTTACCTCCCAGAATGGCCACTTGAAGTTTGATGAGTTTATTTTGAGGTGATGGAGAAAGAAAAGAAGGAACTGAGAGGAGAATATCTCTTCCTTTCTGCCCCCAGCCCCAAAGATGAATCTGTACATTGAGAAGCAGATGCTGGCAGTGATTATGTCGATACTGAGTCTCTGGGCTTTCAATACCAGCATCAGTGAATGTATATCTCGAATGTGTACCTCTAGTCTGACCTCTCCCTCGACTCCACGCTGGTGTGTCCAATTGCCTATTTAACATCTCTGCTTGGATCTCCAATAGGCCTCTCAAAATGTAACAGACATGAAACTGAACTTTTGGTTCAATACGACTCCCCACCAAACTTTCTCCTCCCTCTATTTTGTCACCTCAGTAAAGGACACACAGATACACAGGAGCACAGCTCAATTTGGTGTCCTTGACTCCTTTCTTTCTCCTGCATACTGCATCCCATCTGTTTGACAAATGCTGAATCACCTCACAAACATACTCTGAATCCAGCTATTTCTCCTTTCTTCCCTCCCCACGCCTTCTGGTCCATGTCTCCAAACTCTCTCACCTGGACTTTTAAACTGGTCTCACAACAATGTCCCAGCCTTTCTTTTTGTGTGTGTGTGTGTGTTATGGTCTCTTGCCTATGTCACAGCGATCCTCTTAAAGACATAAATGTCACTCTCCTGTTTATAGCCTTCTGGTGGCTTTCCCGTTGACCCCACTTAGTACAAACTTTGAAGTGCTTGCCATGGCCTGTGTTGCCCTAATCATCTGGTCTCTGGTTTCCTCTCTCTGTCCATTTCCTTTCTTTCACACCCTGCCCAACATGTTCAGGCTGCATACGCTTTTGGGCCATTTCTCACATGCCTCAATTTTATCCCATGTCCGGGACTTCCCGCAAAAATCCTTCACCTGGAATGATATTCCCCAGGGGCCTTTCCTAGTCCCCTATTTGTCGGAGACCAGCTCCAACAGGGGGTCTCAGGAGACGAACGGATGGTGAGGAGTCGGCGAAAGAGGGGGTGGAGAAACAACACAGACACCAAAGTGAAGGTGTTGATCCCCCTCTTTACTTGTGAAGTTGATCATATATACTTTTAATTTTGGCAGGCTTACAGTACTTTGTGGTTACAAAACAGGAATCATTATTCAAACAAAACAAAATATTACGTAGCTACAATTAGAATAGAAGAATGTATCTTGGCTTATGCATAAGCAAGCATTTGTACTTTCAGTTCGCGTTTTGCTTTGAGCAGTTTCTGCTTAGTTAACTTTTAATAATAGTTACAAATGTCCCAAACTATTGGCCTATACCTTGACTATTCTTTCTTGACTTACTGACTGGAACCGGTGCCATGGTTACGGCAAGGGGTTGACTTGTTATTACTTTTAATCAAACAAAAGTAAGAGCACAAACCATTGTGCACAGGAACAAGAACAAGTTGCCCAGTACTAAGCACTAATCTATCTTCTTAACATTAATTTTTCTTCTCTAGATTTTAATTTAATTTCTCAAAAACTTCCTTGACAGGAATACAGGGAGTTTTTCTTTAGACATTAACAATTTACACTCCACAGCTGAATCATTGCATTTAGAGCAAACAGATCTATGCTTTAGAAGTAGTTACATTAATTGGGAAAGTCATGATTTTTCCTTTATACTTAATGGTCATATGAGAAATCAAAACTATACTTATTAAAGGAATACAAAAACAAATCAGCCCATTCCCAGAAACATACTGCGCTCCTCCAGAGGATGGACGCCTTGCGCCATCCACCTCAGTAGGGCCTTGCCATTGCCTGAGTCAGGGGAGGGGCGCAGCACCT